AGTAACGACTATAAAGAAAAATAATTTATCTAATATCATCTGATAATTCATCTTAATATCAAATTTATTAAAATTACTTAAAAAAGAAGATTTAATCAGGTAAAATCCCTGAAGCGGAATTTAAACATTTTTTCTTCTATGTACCGTGTCCCTTTAGTACATTGGCGGTCATGGCTCTCCACAATTTCCTGTCCTTTGTAGCTCTTAATTAATTGTGTCTTTTTGCTATCTCTTCTAAACCCCGTCGGCCATCCATTTGCGCAAGTTCATTCCTCTCCTCACATGTGCAATGTCCCCTCAGGACGTTGACGATCATGGCTCTCCACAGTTTCCTAGTCTTTGTAGCTCTTAATAAATATTGTCTTTTTGTTATCTCTCCTAAATCGCCATGCATTTACTCAGGCTAGCTAGGTTGGTTAGACGTTGTTTCCCTCTTGCCTTCAATCTGTCCTGTGAGTATCAAATTCTCCAAGCACCCTTTCTTCATTGTGTGTGTAGATATTTCAACCATCTTATTCTGATGTTAACTATAAATATTAATTTTTGTTGCTCAAAAACTTCGTCCTTGCTTACATGTTTGGACCATGTTATTCTCAGCATCCTTCTGTAGTACCTTCCTTCTGTTGCTTCAAGACTTTTCTTCATCTGTGAGGAGATTGTTCAGTATTCACTGCCATATAGGAGACATATAACAGTTCATTAAATTGTAAAGGATCCCAAGGAATACATAGATGAAAACCCTAGACAAATCAAAGAATATATAAACAGAAAAGTAATCATTTACGAAAGAACTTGTTCAATACATTTATAGTTCTTTTTAGGTCTGAGAAGAATTTTAACTAAAAGAAAACAATCTTAATTAACCGAGAAAATAAATTAAGACGACAATGTATTGAGAGTGCCGAAACATCTGAATCATGCTAAATTTATATTCCGAATAATACAAGATATTTTTTCACAAAACCACCGCTGAATTGTATCAATTCGGGATATTTCAACTCAATAGCGATAAAATACAAAACAAAAGGGATAATAAGCAGAATATGGTATGCTCATTTAAACATATCGATAGAGGGGATGTCAAAATTTAATTTTAAATTTGAGTGTCACTCTATTTTAAACGGTAACCGATGTTTATTGAAATTTCTCACACCTCCTCTAATTTAAGATATAAGATTGATTTCCTCGATAAAAACCGTTATTAGACGGAATAAGTTTTTTCGTAACGAAATCGTCAATGATAAGTTTTTCCATTATTTTTACGTGAACTTAACTATGTGTGTGTGTGTATGTGTGTGTAAAAGAATGATGTATGTGCGATTCTCTTAATCTCATAGACTTATACCACACGAGTAGATTTAAGAAAATATTTCTTTACAACTACCGATGTGATGCCAAGGGTAAGACAGATTAACGTCGGGTGACCAATCCGATTAACCAATATGTTTGGAATTGTCTGAAACGAAAACATTTATCAGATTCCTAACCTTGAAGGTGAATCTAAACATAGACTTACTAGAATTTCCAAATATTAAACTGGGTCAGTTTTTCAATTTTTTACTTTCACTGTACAATAAAGTTCGCTAGTTCTGCCATTTCAGAACTTTACAGCCATGTCGTGTACACGATGGTGAATCACCCTCTCCACCTTCGTATTTCATTGGCGAGGAGGAAATTCCTTAGAGGTAGTTTCTTGGTAAGTGTCCCTGCTTTGTTTAGCAGACTCCCGAAAAGAAGCTTCCCCGACGATCATTATAATTTGAACTTCTTCAAGTCTAGGGTTAATTTTTATCTTTCCCATAAATACTCATAATCTCTAATAGGTCCATAAAACAACCCCATTCAGTAACTCCCTAAATTGTTTGGATCTTGAACATTGTATTGAGTGATGCGTATAATAAACTTGCCAAGATTTGGCACTCGAATTTTTTTGATTGAACCAGTCCTACTGTAAGGATCAAAAACTTGGACATTATCTGTTCGTCTTGAAAGACGACTAGATAGAACATATACAAATCTACTTAGAAAAATCGAGAACATAAGTTGGAGATGCCAGGCCCACGCTTAACACAATGCGCTGAAAACTGAGACTAATCTCTCTTAAGCTCAAACAAAAACGACTACAGTTTGCCGGCCACTGCCATCGAGCGGACAGGGAATTCATCTTATCCTTACTCCGGTGGCATCCTTTTGGAAGTTTCTTCTCACGAAAATTGACTTTCCTAGACACCATAGCTCAGGACTCAGGGTTGGACATTGGGGATCTGGAGACGGCAATGCAGGACCGAACAATGTGGAAATGGACTGTCAATGGAGGAACAAACAGGCATATAAATTTCCTTTTCACTGTGCTAAATAAACACCCCTAAAAAACAACTTGTATTAGCTTGATGGTTTTTAAGTTTGTTCCTCACTGTGTGTCCCATTATTGTAGCCTTGTGCTAGACTAAGGTAAACTTAATAAACAAATTTAAATTGTTTATATTTCAAATTCAATTTAATACAATAGTTTATGTTACACAGCTAGGAATCTTAAATGTAAATTGACTTTCCCAGACACCATAGCTCAGGACTCAGGGTTTGACATTGGCGATCTGGGAACAGCAATGCAGGACCGAACAGTGGAGAAAGTCAATGGAGTTCCGACCAACCACAGCGAGGTCGAAGGATGATGATTAAGTGAAAAATACGATAAAAATAAAGTCTTTTTATAATCCACTACGCTTACAAGCTCTAGAGATCACGCACGCACACACACACACACACACACACACACACAGAGACCCCACCCATATGTATAGTGCCAAGAATAGATTTCTCGATTTAACAGAAAACAGCTGGAAAAATGTTTCGTGCAAAGATCCTTGATATTTTGAGGTACAGAAGTTTGTGTACAAACTGATCTCTCCTCTACGTCACATCAATGCTCGATTGAGTTCAAGTCGGGTAAACATGGTGGCTACATTTTTTTTTGTCGGAAGTCTTCCTAATATTCCTTAAAATAATTTTCGGTTACTTGAATCTGATGTCAGGGCGAATTATCCTGCGTCGAGGTACATGGACTTCATGAATCGGTATAAATACTCACGAAGAAGTGAAACTTAACAGTCAACGATGAGAGGGGTTTAAGCGAATCAGCAGATCCAAGCCATGATATTAAAACACAGTTCACATTATTATGGAAATATCAGCAATCTGTTCAGAGCCTTATTGAAAACGGGTGTTCACGGGGTCTGCGTTACACCCGAACACTACCATCAATTGAAAACTACGGGAAACGTGACACCCTGAAGTACACCATTTGTTGCCCGTCCTGCAGTATTCAGTGCGCGGCTTGTGCCAGATGAATGTCCATTGTTGAGGGGTTAATAGGAATAATTTCTGATTGCATATCCTATGAAAGTTAGCTGAACGGATTTACAGAACACATGTCATACCGCCTGCATAAAAATGTTGGTAAAATTCAAGCTAGTGTCGCTCGTCTTTTACCGCAGACAAGTCTAACAAGGCACCGCTGGTAACGATTTTTTAAGGCCTGGTGTTCGGCAATTCCTTCCATCAAATATTTCCGGTAGACACGTGTCATCAGATCAAGGGATCTTTAATGTTTCCAGAACTTGAAAAATGGAAAGTTCCATCTATTTGGCACCTATTTTCATGCCTAGTTCAAATTCTGATCAGTCCTGTGTATGACGATTAACTAGGTCTGGTAGTAAGGCCTTTAATCGGGAAATTGGAGGCTTTGAGGAACGTGGAACAATCTCCTAAATGTTGTTGTTCTCCGGTCTAATCTGACCCGAGGTGGTAGCACCTGTTAGGGTCCCAGCTATGAGAAAGTATTAACCTCCAATCAAACAAAAATCAAAAGAAAAGTACAAAAATATTTTTCATAGTAAAAATACTAGTAATATACTTTTATAAAAAATTACCTTTTGTAGGGAGATTACCAACGATACATTTTTATAAAGAATTACCCAAAATATATTTTAATAGTAAAATTACCAACAATACATTTTTGCAGTTTAATGATCAAGAATAGTTTATCATCCACAACCTATATATCTATCTTTGCAGTGAAAGTATAAAATTAGAGTGAAAACTCGGTTCACGAATTTAATTCGTTCGTAAATGCCGTTCATAACTCGAAATATTCATAAACCGAAACTGTATTTTCAATAGGAATCAATGTAGAGGAAAAAAAGTCACAGTACATTAAAATTAGAAAAGAAAAGCACGCCACAACACACGAATGTATACAACATGGCGGTCGACTCAGTAATTATTCCGTTCGCGTTAACTCGATTTGGCAATGTTGTTCGAGAACCGAAATTTTGTTCGATAACCGAGGCATTTTCATCTCGAATTTTCTATTCGAAAACCGATTTGTTCGACATGTGAGACGTTCGACAACCGAGGTCACACTGTATATACAAAATATCTGTAATTGAAGGCATAAAACTGTGTTCAAAATATATTTAGCTGAAGAAATAAAATTGCTTATAAGATATTTAGTTTTCGACATTAATTAACTTATACAGGTTGATATACCGCTAAACAAAACCAACCAAACCAAACTGAATCGACCTCTAATAATTCACATCGCCTTGTTAATCATTGTTGAGACTGACACATCATGAGTCAGAACAGAAATTAAATTGGTTTGGATATTTGTATAGCGTCAAGGGTGGTGCTAATGATTATTATCTTTACATAGTGGTACACCTTGTCTTTTAGTCTGCTAGTGTACAGTAACTAGACCAATTAATTCCAACAGCGGGAAAGGCAGAGACGATAATACAATGTGTCAGAAAGGAAACAAGGTTCTTTCTCCTTACAAACAAAACACCTGAAGATTGTTAAACAAACTGACGTTACGCATATCGATTGACAGTCTGCATTAGGTACACTTCATAACCAAAAGTCCGGAAGACATTTAAAAGGTTTTAAATATCTAGAGAACCGGCTACGGAGCCTCGGTTTGAGGAGAAATCTATTTAGAA